AGGGCTCGAACTCACCTGAGCCAAAATCACTAGAGTCGGATGCTCAACCCACTGAACCACCCAGGTGCCCCTAAAAAGTACAATTATTAAAAACTGGTGGAAGGGTGGGGTGCCTGGGTGGCTCAGTGGGTTGAGCTTCCGACTTCGGCTCAGGTCATGATCTCATGGTTCGTGGGTTCAAGCTCTGCATCGGGCTCTGTGCTGACAGCTCAGAGCCTGGAGCCTGCTTCTGATTCTGTGTCTCCCTCTCTCGCTGCCCCTCCTCTGCTCTCCCTCTGTCTCTCTCTCAAAAATAAATAAAACATTGAAAAACATTTTTTAAAAGTAAATTCTGTGTAGGGGCGCCTGGGTGGCTTAGTCGGTTAAGCATCCGACTTTCGCTTAGGTCCTGATCTCGCGGTTCGTGGGTTCGAGCCCCGCGTCGGGCTCTGTGCTGCCAGCCCAGAGCCTGGAGCCTGTTTCAGAGTCTGTGACTCCCTCTCTCTCTGACCCTCCCCTGCTCACGCTGTCTCTCTCTCTCTCTTAGAAATAAATAAAAACATTAAAAAAAAAAAAAAAGTAAATTCTGTGTAGTCATAGAATGGCACACTACATAGCAATAGAAAGGAGTTAACAACCAACCACAGCCACAACAGCATGGATGTACCACAAAAGCTTAATTTGGGGTGAAAGGCGCCAGACACAGGAAGGCACCTAGAGCGTTGAATCCTGGGACAACTGGACATCTTGAATTGCGAGGAGCAGCCCTGGTGCACAACGCATATGGTCCCGAGGGTAATTCGGGTAATCCGAGACCTCTACTACTGCCAAAATTTCCCACCTGGATGATAAATTCTATCCTCTCACCAACGGTGCTGCTACTCTTTGAAAGTTCACAGACAGGCTAGACTAATAAAGTGTCATTAATAGACCCACACGTAGGTACTGAAACCATTTAAAGAAGAGAAAACTAGGTACAGAGGTATCATAAAGTCAGGGTACTGGCTTCCCCTGTGGGGAGGGAGAGGGCTATTAACCAGGCGCCCGGAGGGAAGCTTCTGGGGGCTGACAAGGTTGTTGCTGCTGACCTGGGCCCTGGTTACATATTTTACAATTATTTGTTAAACTGTACCTCTGTTTTATATGCTTTTCCGCATGGACGTGATAATCCACAATTTTAAAAATATTAATGCTATCAGTAAACACCACTGATGTAACTGAACCCAGGAAGGAAACCGTCTTACTGCATCTTAGCACAAATTATAATTCACATTTGCCAAGCAGCTTTCTTTGGGTAAGGCATTCTGGAAAATTCTTTCTGTGCATCATCTCATTCCCAGGAGGCAGCAGTGATATTTTTGGGCGAGGAGGCATGACAAGGCGAGCAAGGGACATTGCTTGTGGGAACTGCTGGTGACAGTCCGCAGAGAAGGCGGCACTCGGGGGGGGGGGAGGTGAATGTCGCAGGTTCTATACGGTCAGCCTCTCCTGGGCCAACCCCACCCCCAACTCTTGTTCACGACCTTGGGGGGGACCGGGCTTCCCTCTCTGAGTAGAACTTCCGCTCCACGAAATGAGACATGTGCAGGTACCATCTCCTCTCCCCAGTCCCCAAATCCAGACCTGTTTGGTGGCGGAGCTGAGTCAAACTGATGGGAGATTTGATCATCCCAGTGAGTGCGAGCACTCATTCCACCCAAGAAGTATCACTGTGTGTGACACCGGTGCTCCCCAGCCCTGCCATGGCTCTGACGGAATCACATTTGGAATGGGGTCCCCGTGACTTGCCCCACGTTCAAAAAGTCTACCTTCGCAAACGTGTTGGGCCCCAAAGTTTTAGATAAGCCGCTGTGGACTTCTTTTTTTTTTATTTTTTATTTCTAGGAGAAAGAGAGAGACAGCGTGAGCAGGAGAGGTTCAGAGAGAGAGGGAGATACAGACTCTGAAATAGGCTCCAGGCTCTGAGGTGGCAGTCAGCACAGAGCCCGACGCGGGGCTCGAACCCATGAACCGCGAGATCATGACCTAAGAGAAAGCCGGACGCTTAACCGACTAAGCCACCCAGGCGCCCTGCCACTGTAGACTTCTAATGACGCCCAACTCTGTTTTTAATGTTTTATTTATTTATTTGTTTTGAGAGACAGATAGAGACAGCATGAGCAGGGCTGGGTCAGAGAGAGAGGGAGTCACAGAATCCAAAGACAGGCTCCAGGCTCTGAGCTGGCTGTCAGCACAGAGCCCGATGTGGGGCTTGAACCCACAAACCGTGAGATCATGACCTGAGCCACCCAGGCGCCCAGACGCCCAACTCTTTGTGGTTATGGGAAAATAAAGGGAGATCGAGGCCTGGCCCCGGACAAGTATTAGCTGCCCTCGTGACCAGTTACTATGTTTGTGACCCAACCCAGCGGTGGGCTGGAGGCAGCACCTCACCTCCAGGTCAGAATCGGGCAGCCCCTGAAACCCAGCTGCAGGAATGGGGGCGAAGGGGTCCGAGCCGAGGAAGTAAAGACCAATCACAGCAGGGCAAGAACTGGCCAATGGCAAGATCAAAGCTATTCGGTGAATGTTAAAAAGGAAAAAGAGAACGCCAAGTTCAAAATCTCTCCCTAGAAGAAAAGAGTAGAAGGGAGGGCTCAACTGCGTTTATGATGTTAGCCAAGCACACGGTGGTAGTTAAGGAAAAGGGGTGCCTGGGTGGCTCAGTCGGGTAAGCGTCCAACTTTGGCTGGGGTCACGATCTCATGGTTGGGGACTTCGATCCTCGCAGTTGGCTCTGCTCTAACACAGCAGAGCCTGCTTCGCATCCTCTGTCCCCGCTTTCTCGGCCCCTCCCCCGCTCACGCGCTCTCAAAAATAAACATTTAAAAAAAGAAAAAGCCATCATAAACTACTAGCTATGATTAACCCACGCTAACTGCTCTAGGCACGCGGCAGGGGCTTTATAAAATCTCACACAAGTCTCACCAGTGGCATCATGGGGGAGGTGCCATTTTTCAGCTGGGGAAACTGAGGCTTGGAGAAGGGGAGCCATGTACCCAAGGTCACCTGACACACAAGGGGCAGAGCCGGGATTTGAACCTGGGAGTGTAGGACCCCGGGTTGGTGCCACTGTATATGCATCTCCATCTCCTTAGTTTCAACCTTGTCTTACTTTACTTTCCCCAGATTTTATCCTCAAAGGTTCATTATATGGAACTTATGGAATGTTCCATATTTTGCCATATTTGCTTTCTCTCTTTTGATGAATTCTTAAATACTTCAACATGCGTCTTCTAGGAAAGAATAAGGACGCACCAAAGGGCTACACTTACCACTTAACACCATTTCTTCAGAGAAATCCATTCTACTATCTAGTATTCAGTCCATGAGCAATTTCCCCCAGTATCTCAAGAAAGTCTTTTGTAGCTGCTCCCCTCCCCCCAAGGGGCACCTGGATGGCTCAGTTGGTTAATACCTGACTCTTGGTTTCAGCTCAGGTCATGATCTCATGGTTTGTGAGTTTCAGCCCCAAATCGGGCTCCCCCTCTCTGCCCCTCCCCTGCATGCTGTCTCTCAAAATAAATAAATAAACTTAAAAAATATTTGAGAAATAAAAGGTAAAACACTACCCCTCAGTAAAACCAAAACGATAAAACACTGCATCCCCCTTTCCGTTTTCTTAAAGATAGTGCTTTTATAATAGGAAATAAAATGGCAGACCCATTTCTATTTGATTTGTGAATCACATCTATAACTTGATTGGATGAAGAAATCAGTAATTAAATAACGACAAAAACTTTATTTAAAAAATATTAGGGGGTGACTGGGGGGCTCAGTGGGTTGAGTACTGGACTCTTGGTATTGGCTCAGGCCATGATTTCACTCATGGTGAGATTGAACTGTGCCTGGGGCTCTACGTGATAGCGCAGAGCCTGCTTGGGGCTCTCTCTCCCTCTCTCTCTCTGCCCCTCCCCCGCTTGTACGTGTGCGCACGCGCTCGCTCTCTCTCTCTCTCTCTCAAAATAACTAGGCTAAAAAATATATTAAAACAGCAGCACCTGGGTGATTGAACTTTGCTTAAGAGTCCATCTCTCTCCCTCTGCCCCTCTCCCCTGCTCTTACTCTAAAATTAAAAGAAAAAAAAACAACAACATTAAAGTAGATTGCTCAGCCAGGCCTCCCAAAATGGGGAGTCAAACAGATCCTATAAATACTTCATATAACAAAAAAGACATTATGAAAGCAGCCTATAGGGAAACTACAAGGAATGCGTGATTAATCACAAATCATTTTTACTGGCCGCGGGGTCGAGGTCGGCTGCCTTATTTGTCTTTTGTTCTTGGGTGGTGCTGGGCCACTTCCAAAAGTATTTATTTTAAAAGTAGGTCCCTAATATTGCAGTCTTTCAAGATTGCTCGTTAACAGATGCTCTCTAAAATGGGAGGATCCAGACTGAAAGAACAAGATATGGAGCGTTAAGAAATATTACTGAACACTGCAAAAGTTAACTTAGAAGAACAAGATTTAAATCGGGCGGAGCGGCCGCGGCTAAAAACAAACTATGCCCAAGTTGCTAAATCAAGAAACGGTGCGCGGAGACGTCTGATTCACCGATTTGGCGAAGGGGCCGCCAGCCAGAAGAAACAGAAGAAACCAGAACTGGTAAAAAGTGGTCGGGCCTCTCGCGGGCTGCTGTGTACACGTGTTGGTCGGGTACGTTCCGGGGGGAGGGCAGCTTCTTCCACCGTGGCCTCCGCCGAAGAGCGGCCGGGTGGCAGGCGTGGCCGTCAGAGGACGCGTTTTAAGCCCTTTCTTACGACCGGGGGGCTTTCGAACGTGCGTCCGTGCGACTCTGGACTTAAAGGGGCGGCAGCTGGCTGGGACAGCCTAGGACGCGGGCGGGGGCGGGGGAAGGGGCGCTGGGGAACGGGACTCCGGGGGACCCGCCCCTCCCGGCGGGGCGTGGGGCGTTAGTCCTTCCCCGGGCGCCCCGGTTGCGAGCGGGGACGGGACACACCGGTCCCGACCTGCGTCCCTACCTGTCCCGGCGCTCACCTGGAGGCCCGCTCGGAGGCGGCGGCGGGCCACGATCCCTTTCCCCACCCTGCTCTGGGAGGCAGTCAGGGGGGGCTCCCTGGGATCGGCCCCGCCCAGGGAGCCCCGCGACCCGCGGTCTGGGCGGTCGGGCCTCTGCGGGGGGCCGGCGGCTCGGAGATCCGCGGGCGGGCGGCTGCGAGCGAGGCAGGGGCGGGATCCGGGAGCCTGCAGCCGCCGGGGGAGGGCCCAGCTGCCGCCAGGCGGGGTGGGGAGGGGACGCAGCCCCCGCGCTCCGGGACCCGGGGTCCGCCCCTCGGAGGGCCTACACTCGCCCCCACGCGCGTCCCTGCCGCCAGGCGCCCTGCGATCTGACACTGGGTCCCGGTTCCCCCCCCCCCGCCAGCCACCTCCTCCCGGCGACGTCCACCTCCCCCAGAGCCTCCTCCGTGGGAATGGTTCCAGCTGCTTGCACTCCCCCCCCAAATCGTGTTGCCTCCTCGTTCCGGCCTCCTGCCTACAGCCGCCTCCGCCATTCAAAACGTCTCTCCCGCCATCTGGCCAGTGCTGTAAACGGCTTGGCTGTGACTCCGACCCAGGGCCTGGTTTTGAAACACTGGATCAGGTTCCTATCCCCAGGGATTCTCTCATATTTACACTGTGTCCCCAGCTTAAGGTCTCAGAAGCCAGGCTTGTTCTTGAGTGGGACCTCCCGGCCACACGTACTTCGCTCTGCGGCCACGACAGCCCGCATGCCCCTCCTTGGGAAACCTGCCCCCTCCCTTAAAAAGACTGAAATATCCAGAGGTTCAGTAGCAGTAAGGACAGGGGGCCACGACCCATGTCTCTCTTGACCTCCTGGGCTGTTATGTTCCTTCTGATTGCCCTAGATGGACCAAGGGACCTCAGGTGACTGATCTGGGACAACCCAGAGCCAGACTTCTGAACCCCAGGCCTTCTTCCCGCTAGCAAACCGTGACCAGTCCCAGTTGCCCCAGCGCTCGCTCCTGGCAAGCACTGTGCTAAATGCTTTATATGCAGGGACGCCTCTGATGAGAAACTGAGGCCCAGAGTTACGTGGTCTATGCACGCGTTGCAAGTCACTTGTTTGGGGGTCAGGTAACAGGCAAGGGCTGGAGGTTGGGTGCCTCAGGCCCCTCTGCTGGAAGCCTCAGCGAGGCATCACAGCGCCATCGTGAGGATGGCGTGGATCCTGCGCGTGTAGCGCCCAACGAATGTGACCTCTTAATGTTTACCAACGGCCTTACCAAGCATTCTACTGTACTGAAGCAGTTTTAGTACCGATCCGCACACAGTCCCTTACCTGAAAGGCTTAGGATTGGAGGCTAGACTTTTATTTATTTATCTAAATGATTTTACCATATCCAGTGTTCTGCGGAATTCCCAGCACGGGCTGGAGGGTTCTCTCCATCACGTGGTATTTCTGTTTCAACGTATGGAGAGAGGAAGACACACTTAGTGGAATAGAAGTTATAAATAACCTGATCTCAGTGTAGTCACGTCTTCCTGCTTGAAGAATTTGAGGGCCTAATTTCTGAGGAAGGTTTGTTTGTGCCTAAGAGATTGTAGCCCTGATGTTTGAAATCGATACCATTATTTTTTAAATGTTTTTATTTTATTCTTTTTTTAACTTTTTTAAAAAAACTTTTAACGTTTATTTTTATTTTTGAGAGAGAGAGAGAGACAGAGCATGAGCATAGAAGGGCCAGAGAGAGAGGGAGACACAGGATCTGAAGCAGGCTCCAGGCTCTGAGCTGTCAGCACAGCTATGTGGGGCTCGAACCCACCGACTGTGAGATCATGACGTGAGCAGGAGCTGGATGCCCAACTGACTGAGCCACCCAGGCACCCCAGATTGATACCATTATTAAGCACCAACTATGAACCAGGTACAGACTGCATAGATTATGCAAGTTCACAGGCACTGAACAGTTTATTTCAACAAATAATGTGGCTTATTACAGATAAATTAGAAAAAAAAAGAGGGTCCTCAATAAAAACAATTGGATCATCAAAGGATGATGCTAAAAAGCATTGGTAAAATGTGGGAGAACAGTCCAGAATTATTACCCGCCAGATGACTTATTCATTACAAAGGAGGAAACTGTACTTACCTAGGTCGAGGGAGGGGTCTTAACTGAATGATCAAACAAATCCTCAATAGTAGGACAGCATGACATCAAGTATCTCTTTTTGTTTTTTAATTTTTAATTGTTAGTTTTGAGAGGGAGAGAGAGAGAGACAGAGCATGAGTGGGGGAGGAGCAGAGAGAGAGGGAGACAGAGCTCCAGGCTCCGAGCTGTCAGCACGGAGCCCAACATGAGGCCCAAATTCACGAACTGCAAGATCATGACCTGAGCTGAAGTCGGATGCTTAGCCAACTGAGCCCCCCAGGCGCCCCAACACCAAGTATCTCTTGATGTGGCACTAGAGGAAGCACACAAAATTGGGTTGCTTTGGGGGGCTCAATCGGTTAAGCTTCCCACTCTTGATTTCGGCTCAGCTCATGATCTCACGGTTCGTGGGTTCCAGGCCATCAGGCTCTGCACTGACCGCTCAGAGATTGCTTGGGATTTTCTCTCTCCCTCTCTCTTTCTCTGCCCCTCCCCTGCTTGAGCGCGTTCTCTCTCTCTCTCTCAAAAATAAATAAATAAACTTAAAAAAAAAGTATACAAAATTACCTATGCAGGATTCTTGTGGGGGAAATAAAATTTAACCCTGCATTTAGTAACAAGGAAACAATCAGACACGGAAAACAGGGGATATATACCAGGTAACGGGCCAGTCCTTTTCAAAAAGTCAACATGACAAACCAAAAAAGAGGCCAGCGAGACATTCCCCCGAATACAGAGCGTGCACCCTGACTGGGGTCCTGTCTGGTGAGCCTTGCTTGCTCCTTGTCAGTCTCAGATGAGGGACAAGGCTTGTGGGTCTCTGCAGGTGACGGGGGTGTGTTTCCCTGCTATAAACGCGGGGCTGTTTCGCTCCAGGCCTCCGCCCGGAGTGGAAGCATGAATAGCGGCTTTGTGTCCGTGTGTGGGCCTTGGTGCAGGCTGGCCTCCCACGTGGGGGGGGGGGGAGGCCGGGAGCCCCACTTGTGGTCACCCCTCCCGCCCGCCACCAGCACCAGAATAGGACCGGCTTTTTTCCGAAGCCAAGCACCGCCCCTGGTTGGCACCTCAGGCTGTCAGAGAGCTGGATCGCTTTCGGGAACTGCCCTTGGGTTCTGCTCTCCCTGCATGTGAATGTTTAGGTTCCCTGGGCCCTGGGGAAGGCGGGAAGATGGGTACAGAAAGCATGGACAGACTGTCATCTGAGCCTGTCTTAGCTATGTTTTCTCACTCTTGTCTGACGCCTACTACCCCGGTGGCGCTGGGCTCCCTCTTCCCTGCAGCCCCTTCCTGAAGGCAATGACCTCCTCACCCCACTCATGTCCCCAAGCCTCTACCCGATCTGTCTACCAAAAGCGTGTCAGGCTCTCTCGTGTGTGGATGGTGTCTGTGGGGCCGAATAACGACCCCCTAAAGACATATCTGTGCCCTAACCCTTGGAGCTTGGGAATGTCACCTTCCAGGGCACACGGGCTTTTGCAGATGTGAATGAGTTGAGGATCCTGAGTTGGGAGGTTGACCCGGAGGAAAGCCCAGGAGTGAAGGTGGCCTCTAGGAGCTGGAAAAGGCAAGGACGCGGCTCCCCACTCAGTGCCTCCGGAAAGGACCAGCCCCGCCAGTGCCTTGACTTTAGCCCAGCGGAAGTGACGTTGGACTTGTAACCTCCAGAAATGTACAAGAAGAAAATCCGTAGTTTTAAGCCATGAAAGCTATTGGCGATTCCTTGCAGAGACAGCCTGGGAAATGAGTACAGCTTTCAAGTGCAAGCCCATTGCCGCCATCAGTTGATTTCCTTTTTAATTCGCTTTATACAAATGAGGGTGTATAAAGCATCCCCTGGTGACACCTCTGATTGCTGAGTGACCCAAGGGGGTCATTTCATGGTCTCACCGCGTGGTCAGCTCCCTTGTGGGTGTGGGTCGAAGCGGACAAGGCAGAAGTCACAGACGGGCAGCTCCGGGTTACATCAGACGTACAGATGGCTTTCGTTCAGCTCCAGTGTTTTTAAGCTTCTCGCTATATTTATTTTGATCAGGAGAATCTATTTGCATTGTATAAACTTTAAAAGGTATTAAAGAGATTTCCAGTGCTAATCTCTCTTCAGCCACTGCCCTCTGCTACTCCCACCCCCGGTTTTTTCCTGAATTTTGACATGGCTCTCATGGAGATTTTCTATACATATACAAAGAGTTTCACAACACACCCCCTGTAAACAGACAACAACATACCACAGATTCTGACACTCTGTATTTATCATGACACACAGTTTCGTGATCTTTCAACATCACGATATAGAGGGCTTCCTTTTTTTTTGTTGTTTTTGGTAACAGCCACATGGATCTCCACTGTGTGGATGTACCTGATATTTTTCTTGAGTCCCTTATTGACGGAAATGTAGGGTGTTTCCAATATTTTATGACAAACAGGGCTACCAAACTCAATGTGTTACTATCAATGCTACGATATGAAACAGTATACATTTCTAGAAATAGAACTGCCAGGTCAAGAGGTATGTGCTTGGCTATCATTTTTATTTTGTTTTATTTATTTCTGAGAGACAGACAGACAGAGACAGTGTGAGCGGGGGAGGGGCAGAGACAGAGAGAAGGAGACACAGAATCCGAAGCAGGCTCCAGGCTCTGAGCTGTCAGCACAGGGCCCAGCATGGGGCTTGGGTCTCAAACTCACTGACCTCGAGATCATGACCTGAGCCAAAGTCAGACGCTTAACTGACTAAGCCTCACAGGTGCCCTTATTTATTTATTTTTTAATGCTTATTTTTGAGAGAGAGGGAGAGAGAGAGAGAGAGAGTGTGTGTGTGTGAGAGAGAGAGAGAGAGCAGGGGAGGGACAGAGAGAGAGGGAGACAGAGAATCTGAAGCAGGCTCTGTGCTGACAGCAGAAAGTCCGATGTGGGGCTGGAACTCATATGAGCTCTGAGATCATGACTTCAGCTGAAATCAGACCCTCAACCAAATGAGCCACTCAGAACCCCAAGGCTATAATTTTTAAAGGCACAATCCAGGCGCCTGGGTGGCTCAGTTAACCGTCTGACTTCAGCTCAGGTCATGATCTCATGGTTCATGGGTTCGAGCCCTGCGTAACCACCACCCAAGTCAAGAAATAGAGCATTTCCA